TAGGACCTGATAAACTACTTTGGCAGAACAACGAACACTAAAGTTTTCCTTTTTTCAAATAAACAAAAATTTAATAAAAAAAATCACTAGACTAAAACTTATTGGTAAGAACTAGACACCAGATGTTGACTACGCATTATAAAGTTTTGCAGAGTTAACGGAAAATGATAATGCATCACAAAATGTATATTGGTCCTTATTTTATCAGTTCCATTTTATTTATAACACTTCATAATATATTGGTGGATATAGTGTGTTCTTTAAAAATTACAAAGGTGTGGTAACACCTCGATACAGCACTTGTCAGTTAAACTTTCATGAGAACAGGAAAGCCAACCATGTGTGTGCTAATTACAAAGTATGAGCACTGGTAGAGTTTTAGTATAGTAACGGTCCAAAGCAATAATGCGCACATCACTACTGCAGTCATGGGTCATAACTAGAGAACAATATTGTTACTACAAACAGAGAAATATGATTTGAAACTTGGCCTGGGAGACTGGATGAATAGAAAAGGCTGCAAGGCCAAGCAAGTGCTTTTACTTTGGAAATGCTGGCAACATTTATTCAGAAAAAGCCATACCATGTATCGATTTCTTTTTATATCCTTCCAGGCAATAAAGCTTTCTCCCATGCACTGCAACAGAAATACAAAACAAAAAAAAAGGGGGAACACAGTTTGAACAACTGCTATGACATTAGGAGGCCAAAGCAGCAAAAGCAAACTGGTTAGTTCAGATTACTTGCAAAATGGAAGGAAAATAAGTAGCACTGCAGTAGTTGAATACAAACTCATTAAGAATGTTTCTTGTACCTGCTTGTCATCAGCTTTATTTTGCAAAGATTTTTCATTGGAAATGAAATAATCCTGATAATCTGAAATATGGATCATTTTTTTATGAATATTTAGGGTGTGCTGCTGGGATGCTTTCCGAGTTTGCATTGCCTTACCTTTTAAGTGAGTACCAAACTATTTCAAAGCTTGACAGACTGCTCTCAATGCCAGGTTTTTTCACCAAGTACTGTCAGATGCTGTAAATGAGCTTCCCAGCCCAAATTCAAAGCAGCTGTTACCACAATCTCCCTCCATAATGGCTGGACAAATAGTATATCCCTTAAAACATTTCAGATTGTAAGAACAGAAGAGTTCAGCTGTTTTGCTATGATTATAATACAGCCTGTCTCCACGAAACAGCTGACACTTCTCCAACATTCAAGAAGTTCTGTGCTCAACCTTAAAGCATCTTCACTGAAACGGAGAATGCCAAAGGATGACGACTGGATTACTATGGCAGAATTTTTTACTCTTGAAATCTCTCGAGATGTTTACTGTGAAGACAATATCTACTTTGAAAGAACCTAAAAGTTGCCCTGATTTAAAAACCAAACGCAAGCCTCTCCCCCTCACATCTACAAACATACACAAGCCAAGCGCAGAAAAGAAAATTATCATTAGAGTTTATATGAGCTGCAAACAAAAAAACCCATTTGCTCCTTAATTAGTGCAAAAATTGCATTTTGCTTCTCCACTTTAGAGGAACAGTCAAGTCCCAAATCTATGACTACTTATATCAGATAAACCTGCAGGGCTGACAAACTGAAACACCTTCTTTTATGCAAAGTTAAACTATAATGTCAACCAGCACCTAATAATTTGTATTCCGTCTTCTCACAATCTGGCTTTAGGATGATCTTCATTATAGCTTTACAGTAGCTATTTTCAATAAATACATTCCAAACATACATGAATTTAAACTGAAAACTAGATCCGGCACTTGATGTGTCTTGGAGTACCTGTAAGGATCTATTCCAAATAGAGGTCAGAGGACTATTTTTTCCTCTACAGATCCCCTGCTGTTGGAGTTTCTAGAAAGGCTCTGTAGAATAATGTTACTTTCAGTGCTGATCTAGACACTAGATCTAGAAATGCATTAACTTGGAGAGTCGTCTACAACAGATTCCTCTCAGTATTTCACATCCGAGTGTACACCTGACAGTCATTTTTTGCGTCCATTTAGACTTTCTTCCTCATACTTCAGAGAAAAAAAAAGTGAACGACAAGTTGAAAAACCAGCACCATCATTTTGGTATTTACAGGAGAATATGGCAGGAGGAAAAATAAAGTACTTGTTTTTTCCTGTCCAAACTGGATCCAACTTAAAACAAGAAAAAAACCACACATTTTGAGGACACATCACCTATCTCTATTTACTGTCTCTCCGATGAAGACAGCTGACGGAGCAAACCGTTTTAGTGCTTCCTGGTCTACTCCAGCATTAAGTCAATTGGGTGAGCTGTGACATTCCAGCCAAGGCAGCGAACTGTTGTGCTGCAGCGGACCAGCATCAGTTGCAGAATCTAAGACACTCGGCTGTGGAGGCAAGCTATAATAAGAGTTATAATTCTAACCATACCCACAAAAGGACATCTGACACCACTACAAGACAAAAATCCTAAATTATAACATACACCCTCAAAAAATATCAGCAAAACCAACTTACTACCTTCTGCTGACCACAGCCAACTACAAAAGGCCTTATAGTTACTGGAAAACAAAAAATTCTATCTTGGTGCTTTCCTCAGAAATGAGCATCAAGACAGAACAAATGAACGATTGACTCTCCCTGCTGCTGCAGGAAACAAAGAAAAAAACGCCAGAAGCCAATAGACTTACACAGGCAAAAGGTTCTCTCAGTTTGTGTTGTACCAACCTCCTTCCTGTACATCTATAAACTAAGGACAGCTGAGCTTCCTTGGCCAAGGAGATCTTTTCTTTCCCATACTTTTCACCCAAAAAAAGAAAATAAATACATAAATAAATGGTACAGAGGAAGACAGATGAGAGCTTGGGAGGCTTGAGGAAGCCTCATACAAAAACACAACTGTAAAACATCTTACTTTGCCTTGTGTGTGCTCCAGGAAAATGAGGCCAGGAGAAACTAGCCCTCTTTGTTCCTACACACATGCATTTAAAGGAAAACTGCAGGTTCCTAATTCACTCTCACTGGGGTCTATAACAGAATATTCCGTAGACAAATAATTGTGCAGTAATTGCAAATAGCAATTGCATCAAAGAGGTCTGTCTTCTCTGGGTATTCAAATATGTTGTATTCAAATATGTTGCTTTGCAAAGCCTTCAACAAACAACAATGTGATGCTGATACAGTCTTAAACTTCAGAATGACAAATAACTGTAAAGGGAAAAAGCTTCTCAGATCCATATTCTCTGTACAGATATACTTTGATCACTATTTGATTAAACTGAAAAACATGTTGTCCCCCCTCAGAAAAGTCTATGAAGCACAGATTATATCAACATCATCCTAGGTACATTTCATTTTGTAGTCCAAATAATGCTCCAAGTAAGAAATCCCTGTATAAAGCCTACCAGTCAGTACCTGAGCTCAGAGAAAAATGGACTGATGTCACAAAATGTTTCTATTATCAATTTGTACTCTTTGTCCTAACTACCTTGGAAATGACCCAAACAGGGCATTTTGTTTTCAAATTTAGCATAAGCAATTTTGTAAGTTATCAAAATATACAGATAAATTGCTTGCTTCCAAAAAAATTCTGTGCACTTCTGTGTTCTTCCTACAGCTATCTCATATTGATCCTTGTTATAAAAGGACATAAAGTCAGGCAGTATGCTAATAGAGCACTGCTATATACTCCAACATGATTTAAGATGTGCTTCTACACGAAGTCCAGAAAACCTCTCATACACCAAATGTTATGTGCTCAGTATGGATCGTTTCCCTACTTTTCTACTTCAATAATAAAAAAAAAACCAACCAAACCAATTTTGGCTGGAACATCCAGGCTCCTCCTCAAGTCTTCTAGAAGTACCAAAAGATATTTGAACTTCAGGTAAATGGGTAAAAGGCATCTTGTTTGGGACTTATCAGACATACTGCAAATGTCTCAGGGGTACTGTTTACATTGAATGCTACTAATTGCTGAAAACATCCACAGCAAAAAGAGACAAATATCCCAAGTGGTTTAGCAAAATGAGGAAAGTATCCCTTAAAATGAATGGAAGATGCCACTCTTTGAAGTTCCCAGCAATCTAATGTACTGCAAGTAAGAAAAACACATGCAAATAGCTAATCCTGAATATTTACATGATCAGTGCTATAACCATGGACAAGTAGGTAATGGTATCTGAGAGACTAAATAACTAATATCATCAAGCCATAAAACCAGGGGGGTAATTGTGAGATACCACCACAAACATGGGTGGAGGATGCTACTCTGGAAATTCCCATTTAGCTGTTCAGTGGGAATCCATCAAAGGGAAATTCATGAAATGACACACCAGTGTCTCCCTTTTGAAATCAATCACATAAACAGGGAAAAGATAAACATCACAGTAAAGGCTGCAGGAGATCAAGGTGTATAAAGCAGAGGTAATTACATAAATTACCTTTTCTGAAATCTGTAAAAACAAGATCAACAATCCAGGTCATTTCAAGCAGAAATTAGGTTGTCAGTAGGTTTTGAAAGGCAGTCCATCATTCACCCATAGCAAGTGCTTCTGCTGAAACTGTACTTTGAGCCACAAATGAAGCCCAATATGAACTTCCGACAATGTAGGGGCAGGGGGGGAGGGGAGAGGGGTGGCAGGAGTTGAACAGTGAAAACCATCTTTTCGTAGGAAATAGTCTTTGTACTTTCCAATACTCCTCATTTTTTCCTTAAATTGTAGTTATTACGTATTGGAAAACTATTTATACTAATCAATTGAAGAAAGTTATTTAAAATATTTGCAAATCAAGGGGAAAAAAAGAATTGTAAATTACACCATCATTTAGTTTGAAATGTTGTCATGTTCCAGAATTTTAAAATACTGACTCACACTATTCAAAGATTTTAAATAATTTCCACTTAGTTTATATAAAATATCACCTACTATAAAGCAAACTGATCACAAAAAAGTAAAACGACACTAAATTGTTCCCTGTTTTTATTATAGTTATATTGTTTGTCATTTCACTTACCCATGCTTCGTGCCATATATCTCCTTTTCTTTTCCTTTGCCCTTCTCTTTTATTTTTTCTTTCTCTCTGCCTTTACGCCGCTCTCTTTCACGAGACCCGCTATGAGTTCTCCTATGACTGGATCTTTCACTACTTCGACTATAAGAACGTTGACGAGGTCTTGATCGTGATCTACACAAAATCCATAGTATTAAGATTTAGCAGTCATACATTTTTCACTGTCACTGTATGTTAGATTTGTTACATAGTCAAACTATTTTAAACACATTTTCAAATCATTTAGTAATTTAATACTTTTAAACAAAAACCTGCCAATTTATCAAAAAAAAAGTGAAAAAGAAAGCATTGCTTCTACTCTGAAGGAAGAACGCAAAATAAATTAAACCACACTACATAGTATTTGCCCATTAACAAAGTAATCTGGTATTACCAAAGTAATCTTCAGAGCTATTGGAGAAGGAAAGGAAGGAAATTTTTTCTTGAACATTAAACTTTAAATTCTTAAGTTCTGATCAATTTAGCTTGGCAAATAATCAAAGAATTTACAGCTGCTACTAAGTGCTTGTATTTACATATTAAATACATTACTACTACTAACGATTCTATGATTCTATGTTCCAACAAAAATGAGAAGTGATGTGTCCAAACCCCTATCTTTAGCCTGCAGAGCTGACACTTGCACACAGCTTCTTAATATCAAATTCAGATTTGAAACACACTTTGCAGAAAACCTATAAATAGGCCAACCCTACAGGCCCAATAATGCAATAAACTGCATACAGGTGCAAGGGTTTGTGTACATATTTGGTTCTTGGTTACAAGTTCCTACATGGCTGTAGGATATTCTGTTCTCAATCATGTTATCCATTCCTCTGTAATAAATATATGCTGTTACTGATATACTTGAATGAAAAAAGATCAAGAAGTATTACAATATGACTGTTTCTGTATGTACCCAAAAAGACTTTTTATTATTCCTGAATTTCTTTTAGATGATTTTCTAAATTTTAATTTATAATTTATCATGGACCAATACATCTTTTCTATGGTACATGAGTAACTATAGACAATGAATATTTAGGAAAACAGCAGTTCAAGTTTGCATTAGTTTCTATTACAATGTACATCTTGATAAAAGTTCTGACAGCACCTCATTGAAAAGTTTCATTAAGTACTGAGAGCTGGGGGGAAGGCCATTTTTTAAAACAGTATAAAAAATTTATTTAGCACCTCTTGGAGTGCAAAACTCCAAAGGCCTTTAAAAGCAAAATCACACACAAAAGATCACTCAATTTGAAAGGCAACAACTGTTTAATAAAACTCAACAATAGAATAAGCAAAAGAAAATACTACATCCAGATGAAGCTATAAATTACATTTAGGAAGAATGTTGTTACTGAGTCTGGAATTTGTCCAGCATACTGGGGTTAACATACCTATTCTTGCCATTGAGCCTTTCAGACTAGCACTAGAGGTCAGAACCTCAGTTTTACGTTTCATTCAGCAGATGGCATCTCTTGCAACACAGGATCTCCTATTATGGGTCACGCTATTAGCACGATACAATAAATCAAATTACCACTTAAGTGCCGTATTATGAACTATAGAACATTTTCTGTCTCAAAATGGATTTCTATTATGTCATCACAAATTAAAAAGCATCCATCGATTCTTTAGTCTTCAGGTGGAGGAAGTTTTGACCTAGAAGAGTATTCCGGACATTAGATCTATTTTTTGGTCAGCACAAAGACACTGTTTTTACAAGCATCATGATGAGGCAAGCACAGATTTACAGACCACTGCCCTACGGACATTCACTATTCAAAGGTAACCATGATTTCTGAGAACTCTCCAGGTAAGATGCAAAGTCAGAAACAGTAAAAAAAAAAAAACAAACCAAAGAAAAAAGCCCTGTAGCAACACAAATCACCTTCATTCGATGCAAGGCCTCTCCTTCCTTAAGGATGTAGTCCTTCAAACAGAAATTACTGAAGAATCTAAAGTATTTATTGCTAGAGAGCTTACTTTCTTAGCTCAAATTTGAACTTGATTTCACATCCACCTTTTGCAGGTGCCAATAACAACAAATTCAGTTCAGATTAGCTGAATGCTCAAATCCTAGACTTCTGTTTGTTCACATGTCTAAGTAGAACAAATGTCAGGTATAATTTATATACAGAAAAATAGCTTTTAAAAATTAAAAGTAGACTTGTTGCATCAAATTTGCAGTAATGTACTTACAACAGCATTGACAAACTGATAAACATTTTCTTTACAGAAGCTGTCACTGTTCTTTCATTTGCAATCTTTTGCACCCACAAAATTCATTAGGCTAGAGTGATCCCTAATCATTGTTTATCCTCTGGGTTTTACAATTACAGAAAATAGCTAATACAGCTTATGTTCCCTGTCCTACTCACGCAGGTGAGGCAGGCAGATGACTATCAACGGGATATTACAGTGAAGATCTTAACAAAAATGTTAAGTTCTACTCCACAGAAGCCATCCCTGCGGGACACATTAGTTCAGTCAATCCTTCAATTATCAGAGCAGTTGATCTGGGCTGTAGATCAGCCCAGAGCACAGATGCAGACAATCCAGAATTGGCTTCATGCAGAGACAACTTCAGTTTGGTCAGACTTGTTAGCTCAGATAACAAGTTAGCACACATAGAAGGGTCTTCAGGGCAGTTCAGGTGTCAGGTCTTGCTGCCTTCATGGGCTGCAGACCCCCAGCCTAACCCAAACTGACTGCGAAGCCCTGTTTTAGGGGATCTATAGAGGGAACAGTGCAGAAAAAAAAGTTGCAAAGTGGATCTAGCTTATTCTGCTGCACCTGAATCAACTTTTTGAAATTTAAGTTTTCCTGGGTTTTCCATCATTGTGCACAGTTCTTTGCAAATATTTAATTTTTCATTATTTCCCCTTAATGCTGCAGAGCTACAGCCCTCCCAAATAAAACTAACTCTGCCTGCTAAGTTCATTGTATTTATTTATATTGATTACAAACAGTATTTATAAAGCACAGATAAAGCAACACAAGTCCAGAAATACAGAAAGATGTACTAGCCCCAGTCATGAATAGGGGTGAAGTAAATAAGGAAAACTGAGGCAAAGAAAAAAGGAACAGTCTAACATTAAAGCTCCCTTCAATTCCTGAATGCTAGCAAAACTTAGATTCTGTTAATCATTTTTAAACTAGGATAACTACCGTGTTTCCAATGTTGTACAGCAATGAATATTTTTGAAAAAGCTTATCTTGTATTAACCTTTTGCCTTCACAATCTAACCAAAGACATTGTGGAGGAGGACTATTAAAAAAACCACTAGGCAACCACACCACACAGTTGCATTAACAAATTTAAGCTGAATCTCAACTCTTGTTTAAGACTTCTTCTAGTCTGAAAAAAATCTTAGGGACTTCTCACACAAGTAGAGGCATGAAAATTTTAAAATATATTTGCTTAACTATCTAAGTAACAGCTTAGTATATTATGAGTTAAGATGCATTATGTAGTTTTACCACATTTTGATGAAACAAAGGAAGCACAGAGACTAAATACTTTAAGATAACAGACATAAGATGGCAAAAATAACAAACCTGGCGGTATAATTCTCTAGAGCAATTTCAAACTGAACTGGAATTAACAGGAAGCCAGCAATAAACCATATAAGAACGGCTGAGCTTAAGCAGGTAAGACCACAATCTTCTTGATCTCTGCTAGTGTGTGCACTCTTAAGAGAGCTCTCAGTTTCTATGAAGTGCCACAGGAAATGGTGATTAGCTATGATTGAAGCAAAAGCCACAACTATATTGATATACTGAGTGAATGCTGCATCACTTCTAGAATGCATGAAAACCTACCTCTTTAGGCCATGAAAATGGACAAGCACTGAAATGTATAGGGACTCTGCAGTGCAAGTCTCAGGGAAAAGCGGGAACTGCAAAGCACTTAGAAAAATAAAAAGGTTTTTGCCTACAAACAGGTTTTCCCTGCATTCATCAAAAAACAAAATATGAGCTAAGGCTTCTTTCTCCCCAAACTGAAAAGCTTAAGGAAGGGACTGACCAAAAGAAAGTGCGTCTCTTCATAAGATTATTGATTCAATAAAGTTAAGAAAACTTAAATAAATGAAGCTAAAGAGATTAGAATCATAGCAAGAAGGAAGCGAAAGATATGCAACACCATATACTGAAAGGCCAAAAATATGTATTCAGAAAGCAAAGAAATTATACAAAAACATTTAAAAAAATACAAAGAAGGAAAAGCACAGTTTCCCACAAAGTATGCAAAAGGATGTGCTGTGTTTGTATACAGGCAGATGTTACTACTCCTCCTGACATTTTATTTATTGGCAAGTACTCCCAAAACAAATTGCCACTTAAATTTGCCCTCTTACATACAACTGTTCTAAGACCTCAGTATCTAAAACCTGCCTAATTTCCTCCAGCTCTGAGGGAAGCTCCAACCTCCCTTACCTCCCAGGCTAATTACACCCACCTGTTAATACAATTCAAGACTAATTCTGCAACACCAAACACGAGCTTCAAGGAACCAGGTGACAGGAGGACTATTCAATGAAGAAGCCATGACTCCCCATTTAGCTTGGTCTTGTTTGAAACCACCAGGTAACAGTAAGTGACTGTATGAGCAGATACCATCCTGCAGACAGCAGGACAGAATTAAGACAATATTTAAAAGCAAGTCTGGAACATTGTAAGCTTCAAGTCTTTGACTATGCAATCCAAATAGCTTTCTCTACTTCATTTCTATGCTGTTTCTTCCCCTTCTCTCTCTTCCTGTTAAAGAAAGAGGTAACATTCAATCTCTAACATCCACTTTTCTGTGGCAACTGCAGAATTTGAACAATGAAACCTCAGAAATTTAGATCATGCTTTGACAACTTCAGGTAAGGCTACTGACCTTTTTCTAGTACACCAAGGCTGCAGGTAATTAAAAAATTAAGATCAAGACCAACAAGAAAAATGACACTTCATATTGCCTAAGATACATTCAGTATTTAGTAGTGTCGTCCCCCAGCAGCACAGGCTGGGTTCATGGGATAGAGCCTCTCAGTAACGGCAGATGAGCAAGGGCTAACCTCAAACCAGAGGGCCGTTATCAGCACCTTCACAGTGCCAGGCTTAAGCACACTGAAAAGCTGCACTTA